CACTAGTTCACCACCTCGAACTGGATCATTTCAAGATGGGACCAGGACCTCACAGGGTCCGTATTCATTGAAATGGAAACTGGTGCAGGCAATCAAGTGTAGATTATATTTGAACTACGGCACGGACAGAGGTCTTTATTTCAAATAAATCGCTTAAAAGTAAGTGCATTTTAATGCGTGGTCCAACGACACCAATCACTGAGTTAGTGTGTCGCAGCTGCTTGACAGGAATAGTAGGTGTTCGGCGTTGGCGGCGTCGTTGTCTGCAGCAATTGATGCTGCTAATTCGATTTCCGCACCACCGCACCTCGTCGTGGATAGTCGTCAAGCCAATAGCTAATGGCGACGGTTAGGGTTGTTGATTGTATCGGAAAGGCTGCCATCTGCTCAACAAGACGAGTCCCCTGCATTGTGATGTGGAAGTCTCAATGAAAACACAACACCGTTTGATTGAGAAAATTTGCATATACAGGGTTAGGTGCGTTGCTGTGGCACAGAAATTAGACAAACACAATTGTCTTCTTAATCGAACGATTGCCAGTCTAGACTTGGAATGAGGCAGGTGCATTTTGGACTACACTATGCAGTCAACACACACACAGAATGGGTTTACTGGTGAGCGATTAAGAGGAGAGACCGAGTCGGTATGTGTGTGCATCTCCCTCATTAGACACCACCAACAACACCTCTCTCCTACACCCCCGCCTCGAGTGGTGTCATGGGCAACGCTGTTCAATCCCGTGTTGAATGGCTAATCGAAAGACGATCGTATTTCTTCCTTGTTGCCATCAATTGAATGCTTAATTAAGACAGTTTACCACCAATAAGCTCGTAGATGTTTTTTCCTCTGAACGCATTCTCATCGACATCTGCATTCACCAGCTTTGTCATATTGAGAAAAAGTCAATGCCAAAGAATAGAGCAAAAACGCTTGTCCTCGCATTATCTAAGCATTGTCGCAGGCACTCATTGTTGTTGCCATTCATTTCGTTATTCAACGTGAAGACAAAACACACATATTTTTCTGACAGCGGCTAATTCATTCCCCAATTCTCTACCTGAATTCACTTCAAGTGAGTGACGCAATGGAGTGTGCGTGCGTGGTCTTGGAGGAGTGGGGAGGGTGTCAGTTGGTGCGTGGCGTTCTCCACATTCGCTGCGTGTCTGAGTCCACATTTTCTCCCCAAGTCTTTCACCCATGAGCGATTTTTCCTTCTGCTTCCCCTCCACTAATCGATGACCGTGATTGGAGAAGGATAAACGCCACGCGGAGAGAAGGAAATACCAGACTGAACTCACATCGCGTATTGTTTGATTTATGAGAGTCGAAACAAGTGGAGGCACCTGGGGGTGGGGGTGTACCGATTGTGAGAGTGTGATTTATGGAGAGGCAGGAACAGCCAGTATTTGGGGTGATATTTTGACGTTGACAGGAGCAGCCAGGTAGTCTGGTGTAGTTACATCGGGTGATGTAAGATGTAGGTGGCAATAAATAAGCGGGTGGTAGATGGGAAGGCATAGTTGGCTGTGAATAGGTCGTAAGAGAACTGATATTTGGAGTGATCGGAGACAGGAGGGGTGTGTAATGCCTGGAAGGTGGGCGTGACGGAGTTCCTGAAATCGATTCCATCTCTCCACAGAGATCAGCGATTCAGTGTGTGAATCTGACCACTGACTGCACAGACGTGTTGGTTTCGTGTGGTACTTTTGACCTTACACACGTAGAGTGATTGTGTTGGTAGTAGCAACTAGGATCTTGCTAGAAGCGGAGGTCTTTAACTGGTGGGTTAAAGGTTAGTTAAAGCATTGAGAGTGAGTGTTAATAGTGAGATGATTTTAGTCATTGTAGAATGTCAAAAAGCAGCCGAACCTGATAAAATGTTATGTTGAAATCACTGTCCATTACATAAAATTGGCTAAAAAGTTCAATTTTCTTCGTTAAATGATTGGATGCCGATCTTTCCAAATCAGCTGAAACTGTGTTCTTGTTTATTTTTTTTTCATTTGCTTCTCCCACTGTCCTAGTAATCGTGCATGAACGTGGTTTTTATTTTGAACTATCACTGCCATTGTGGGTAAATTTAGCGCACCAAACTATTTCAAAATACCCTTAGATGACGTGAAGGGAATTTGATTATTCGGGAATTTGTTAAAACGAGTTAAATAAACTCCCTGATTTTTCATGCATGTCAGTCACTTAACTGTGGCACGGCCATTAATCATGCTTAACGACGAGGACGTGACGTTTCCGTGAATTCACTTAATCAACTGAGTCTGTGTTTAGCGCTCAAGTCAGCTTCGCCTTAAATGTAGATTCATCCACAGGGTCTGAGTGATTGTCTTTCAGAAGGCAACTTTTTCTGTCCTCTATCTATGCAAGTCGGGGCATTAAATGTGCGCAATTAGGACCCTTTTTAAACAACCCGCACCTGCGCAATTATGAAAAAAATAACGGCCGAGATTTAATTTAGTCGATTATTCTGCCAGAGAGGGGGGGTGGGGGGGGTAGACTGCGAGAAAATTATCCCACGACCAGGTCCCGCTGGTCCAGATCGTAGATTCTGTGGTCGGTATAGTTACAGCACTCTGCTGCACGCGTTATGAATGGTGATTAATATGCTCAAAATACCACATTCTTCGCACTTGCCCCACGTAGTCAGCCCGCGTTTTGATGCCAGTCGCGGATGTGTTCAATTCCTCATTGAATGGATCCACTTAGGTGCCAAGATTAACCCTGAAGGATCTGTGATCACGTAGTAACTCACTAGACATTACACAATCCCACGCATGGGGAATAATTGTACTTACTGCATGCACCAGAGAACCTGGTTCTTGATGACAAAATCATGTCCCTTAAGGCCACGTCTAGCTGGTTAGGTGAGAAATGTCATTCTCTTTCTAAAGGGAGGTGAAGTTGCGACATGTCGTAAACATGCCGGTCAGTTTTGACAAGTTAAAAATCCTGTGAATTCTGGGTGCAATGTCAGTCACAGCAGCTGTTGACAGTGTTTGTTGCGGACTGCCACGAGACTGCAAAACTGATCTGGAGGTCTGTTTGTGTCAGTCAATATACGAAATTTTAATTAGCAAACGACCAGTGAGGAATTCCTGATTCGCCGTTTACTTGGGTCTAATTAGAGTGAGGTTTTTCATGGAATGATAAGGTAAATCTTGGAAACTACAGCTAGATGCCCGCGGACTAAGGAACGCTAATTTGAGACGGCCAAATTTATCACTATCAGATAATCAGAGAGAGGAAACTGCTTGCCAATTGGTAGAATCTCCAGGAATCTCAAAAGAGCCTCTGTTTTCCACGAAAAGAACCCATCAACGTGACCTCTACAGTCAATTTGGGTTCAAATGGGCGGATGCAAAACATTTTGCTCAGAAAATGGCTAGGGTCCGTTTATTTTTCCCCGTGAATCCCCAAACACCAGTTAGGATTGGCGACAGACGCAAAACTGGCTCCCAAATGGCATTTTCATTGGCCACAAACTAACTGTCTGGCCTTGAAACAATTAATCGTGATTTACATTGTCACATCTGGTGCATAAATAAATGTTGCCATACCGAAGTTGTTAACGAACGACAAATATTTCCTCTGATTTTAGTGCAGATGGCTTGTATGTTCAAGCGTTAAGTTTGGAGACTAAATTGGTGCCTTCTCAATAACTGTCTGATTTCCCTAGTGCGTTTTGAAGTTAAACATCGTCATAGATGCCCTCTTGAAACAAAACCAAGTGGTTAAAGGTACGGAAGTAAGACCTGCACAGCTGTTTGTACAAATGTAATTGTTGCTCTACCTTAACGGTTCAAGGAATTGCCTCATCGAACTGGGGGGGTAGAGAATCGAGTTATTGGAAATCAATAGCTTTCGATCCAGAACTAATGGATACTTGTACCTATCAAATGAGACAAATGGACCATTTCCAAAATATGGAAATGATTCCAAATGGAATTAGTGACTTCTACGTGGATAGAGTGTTCGTCTAAATCGAGCAACACGCAGCTCTTTAACTTACGTCCGTTGCTCGAGTCGAGTCAGGACCTTGGATTGCTTCAAATACGATGAAATGTTCAACGATCTGTTCCGATCTTGAATCGACACTGCATTCTCCACTGAAGGGATGCTGGCTTTCTTCATAGTTTCCAACTCTACGCAAATTGAAAGGGTCCACAACGTGAAGGCTATTGAAAGGAGCCCTATGGCCGTGTTGTGGGTCGTACTAATTCACGTCCAATTACGCGGTTTTCTCAGTCCTCCCCACTCTGACCTCATTTCCACTCCGTCCCTATCGATCTTGCTAAACCGTCTGCTCGTTCACCCCTGTACTTGTACCAACCCCATGCTGTCCTTTTCATTCATGTGATCAGTCAGCCATCTGTAATTTTACAGGTGTTCATCGACAAACCTTTTTAGTCAGACACGTGTTATGCGCTGTGGCGCAACTAACACAACCAAGTTGAGCTGTCAAGTAAACGGTTGTCTCGCCGTCTCTGGTCTTCTTCATCTTCGCTGGTAACAAGGTAATCAGGGGCCTCGGGAGTGGATTGGGGCTACCTGTCGGGGTCCATAACCGACGTCATGGACGATGAATAACACTCTGCAGACAAGTTCCTCTTCTGATGTCTTCTGCTAATAGTTTTCACAAGTCATAATTGTACGATTTGAATGGTTGGGAGAACTACAGCAAGAAACTGACCAATGAGAGTTAGTTTTTGTGTGTTATAAAGTTGATAATCCTTCCATCACCGCAAACATGTCGAGTTTGATGGTAGTTTGTACGCGTGCCTTTGTGCATGACTCAGCACAGGTAATTGCCACTTCATTAAGAAGGGAAGGATTAAAACAGGATGAACCAAAAGAGGACGATGCATCTGTCCACAAACGATTTCAACTGCACGCACACACATATGTACAAACCTTCAATCATCGTGCGGAGCGATAATCGTCAAAGTGGTAAGTTTGCGATGCTGCAAGCGCTCTTTACGGTCTCCACATGTGGGGGACAGCAGTGGTCAGTAAATCACGTTCTGCTCCCTCCTCTCCCTCCCCCCCAGCTGCACCTGGTTCCGGGTCATCTGTGCGCAAATTCACTCCGCCAACTCCAAAAGCCCACCTGCGGCGGCCGAATCACACGCACACCTCGGTGAGTCAACAATGCCGGCGCCGAGATTGGTTCAGGAGAAAGAGAGACGAGCATAGACGGCGACTTCACGGTGTCGGCTTACGCTGGTTGCGCTAAGCTGCCATAGCAACCAATGGCTTCATTTTTGTGTGGCTAAATTTGGTTCGGTTTCACTCAAATCTACGGACGAACAAAGGCGTCGAAACGGAATGAATGCATCAAGACAGAAATGTGTGCGAAATTCTAATGTACCCAAGATAATCCATTGTCCCTCTTCGCATCATGAACACCTTAAATGTCGAATTACTACGAGTCAAACCGAGGCGCAGGCACACTTTTGAATCATTTAGCCCTGCAGATTTAGTCCCCTATATCTTTTGAAAAAAACACCACTTAAACAATTGATTGTGATCTTTGCAAATATGATATTAGCACCATGATTGCGTGAACTATTAATCAGATAATTGTAACTGGAAAGCCAGTAGAAAGAAAACAACCTCACAAGTTGACATTGCGATGTGCAACCACAAATCTCGCATCCAACCAAGTCCACTTCACCGACTCTTCAGCTACAAGACGTCGGCGAGAAAAACCAATCAAGGGCTCCAGCACTGCACGTCAAAGCACTCAAAATCCCACTGGTTTCGCATGCTACGCAGCACTACGAGCGTCAAAATTAACTCAACACCCGTCCATTCTGCGATGTGTGCAGTCATGAAATCACATTTCTTGTACAATACCGAGTTGCGTGATCATGAACTTCGCTTCACTCGATCGTGCACTGCACACATCACAAGCTGGTATGCCGCCCATTCAACTACATCACTCAATCTGAGCCGAAAACGCAAACTGAGCCACCTCATCAGTCCACGATTGCTCAACTGCCTGCACACTGCAATGGAAATACACGCAACCGCACTGTTCCAGGCTAGTTTCCTTTGTGTTCTAAGATGACCGCCGCTGTCAATCACAACCGCGGTATCATCCACCTCCACCACACCGTGTGTGGTCCAACTCCGATGGTACAGCGTTGACGTAAACATCACTCTCTCTCTCTCCATCTCCATCTGGATAACTGCGGGTCCATTCCCAGCACTCTGACTCATCCGCGCACTTTGTGCAGCCCACACACAACATTAATTGGAGTGTGGATGCGCGATCTTACCCTCCTTGTCACTAACACGTAATGCAATTCAAGCAGACACAGTGCGGGTTTGTTGAGATCCACCCAGAACACGGCTTTTCGCTGATTACTTATAACCACCGTCCTCGCATCCCCTGATAACGCAACCTCTAGTCTTGACTACTGCTGGGTACGTCAAAGCGTGTTCGTCATGTACGAAGTTGTCGTGGTACCTGTGTCAACGCGCCCTGTCGAAGGGTGTCAAGAGAAGGAGACACCGTTTCCCACTTATTGACTTCCGCTCAATAAGCTAAATTTAAGACCTTGTGGTGAATTCGTCTAGCCACAACTTCGATTCGACAGCCAGTGGCAGAATAATTGCCGTATTATTCAAGTTATCGTGTTTCTCAACAGGGAAAGTTTAGTAAATCACGTAATGTCGTCCAATTTAATTCTATCGAAATTTATCAAACCGATTTGTGAAAGGGAGCGAAAATTTGGTAGGCGAATCGAAAAGATTTCGCGTGTTCTAACGTCGCTTGATTTTCTTTAGTTAAACTTACGACTAGGCGGACAGCTGTGAATCTTACTTTAAGTCATATTTTTGCAGAATCAGTTACTAACATTCGATCTCAAGCAATTTATCCTGTGCGTTATCACTTTGGTTGTTCCACTTCTAGAGTTAAAACTCAAGATGATTGGGTGGCTCGGCAATAAAGACGGTTACATCATCATGAAATTTCACCTGCTTTCATTGCATCAAAACTTATCAAGCAACTTCGTAAAAGGAGGCGAAATATTGTTGGACGGTTCGATTACAAACTCGCGAAGAAACCCTGTTCTTTAAACGTAGTTCGTCTCCTTTCTTTTATGCTACGACTAAGCGAGCAGCAGTGTATCTTACTTCAAATCGTCTTTTTGCAGAATCAGTGACTAACATTTGTTCTCAGGCAATTTATCCTTCCTCCTAACTATATGTGACAGTTCACCGGTGTCGTTGAGGCAAAGTCGTCTGTCGGACACACCAAACTAGCCGATACATCGTAGCTCGGGCGTGCACTTTCACGAAAACAAGCAAAAGTCTTGCCAGATAAGAGTGTCCAACTGCAAGATTTGTGAGAGTGTTGCAGCTTTGGAAAGAAGAGAATTTTGTTCTGGTACTCTATCGTGATGAACTCCATAAAAGATTCTCACTAGCATTTTGAAGATTTAATTCGACAAATGTGTATTGACGATCACGTAGGATTGTCACAAAAAGGGTCTCAGCTATCAGCAAAGCACGTCAGCCATGTTCCTTAAAAAATGGTCGTTTTACTGATTGATCAAGTTTTTCGATGTTCTGTGCGTGAACACCTGAATTTTGACCAACGGATATCGGTGTTGAGGTAGTACGCGATCTGACACACCCATGAATATTCTAGCTATTTGTCTGAATGTATTTTTGAGCCCGATTCTGCTGCCTGTTCAATGATGGGAAATAATGGCAATGTACCTCGCTTGTGCATGCAACATTTTCAAACACCTGTGGCCTGCGACAGAAATCAAAGATCCATGTAAACAGTGGCTCTGCAAGTTCTGCTCTGGGTCACCACGATTTTCTTCGAATGAATGCATCTCAGCCTAAAAGACGATCTGGAATGTGTTTTGTTGAACCCTACAAATATTGCACTTGAACTGGATTCTGCATTGTTCCATTCAGAACGGACTGTCTGATTGTGGTACCAAAATCAACCGACCACGGTATTTGGGAGCTACGAGAGGCGTTTGACATCCTCTACAGTTGCATTCTTTTGCATTTGCAATCGGAGCATGATTATTGCGTCATGGGAAGAGATTTCGTGACGCCATTTCTTCTCCGGCCACCACCTCTTCAGTGTAAGATGCGTTAACAAAGATTAATTTTGTGTCGGCGTCGCCACACCAATCCGTAACTTACTGAAAGCTGGACGGGGCGTTTTTGTTCAGTGACTGCCCGCTGCGACACATCCCACTTGTGGTAGGATTGTGGTAAGATAGTCAGAAACAACTTGCTTATAGACTGACTTCTAAATTATATCGATCATTTATTGTGTTCCTGCTCTCTGATTCGCCATTTCTATTTAATTAAACTACCAGCCGTCTGACTGTAGCAACACTTGCTCACTATAGGCCAAACACGAATTACGCCAGCAGAATGCCAGTTGCATTCGGAAAGGTAGCAGATGAAAGCAGGAGTTGCTAACGCCCAACTTCCCTACAGTCTCTCTATCTCTTCCTCCTCCTCCGCCTCCTCCTCAGCTTTCTGAGTGTCGAGATGTAACTCTTGACAGGGGGATCATGTTTTGCAAGTTGGAGCGTGCCTAGTTTTTTCACAAGTGTACACATCACAGGTCCGGCAGATGTATCAAAGCTTCTGCTAAGTGTGTGCGCGCATACTAGAGGGTGAGTTTGCATTCGAGGCAGTCAATGATTAGAAAAGAAGTCTGCAAATTGCAAAAACGACGATTTCTTGGAGTGGAATTACGTCGAATTTCATTCAAGGCCGCTCCGATCGATATTCAAATGGACATTGGATGAAGTGTTTACACTACATGGTTTTAATTGTCATTTAGTTTGAAATGGACTATTGTAAATGATTATTTTTTAAATTCGCATTTTCGTTTGATTTGTCACAAGTAAATGATAAATGTCACATCTTAACACACCAGTCGCATCACAGCATGTCTGATCTCAACCAATATACACACTGAATTACGAAAAGCGTTTATCAGTCGATTAGGTCATTTTTCAGATTACATGACAGTCCTTTAAACCAAGATTAGTTGATTTTAAGGCTAAAATGACCTCAAGCAGGTGCATAAAATATTACGTGAACGTGAGTCTCTTTCTCGAAATGATTTGGCAAATATTGATGAAATGAAATCCGATGATGCTAGTCGAGTTACAAGATCGTTTAACTACAACTGGCGTAAATTGTGGCGTAATGCAAAGACATCAAGACGTAGTACGATAAACTTCAGACCATGTTAGTCAAAATACGGAATGGATATTATCAACTAACGATTACAGCAAATTCAGAAGGCCATTGGCAATTGACGCTCAAATGAGTGTGTTGGACATGAAAACACGCAGTGTTATTTGACTACTTCGGGTAGAATAAGGAGATGTAAGGTTGCGGTTTGCATTCTGACAACTCGTCAACGCATTTCGTTCCAGTCCAGACGAGGTGAATCTTTTGCGAAATGGATGCTGCCTTGGAGGAGATTGTGAGACTAACTTTGATAACGCACTGATGCCACATGCGTCGTACTTGGTGTCAGTCTACCTTGAAAGCTTGGCAATGAGGGATTCACAGACGGATATCCACGAGAGACGATTTTACTGTGGCTAGACGAATTCACCACAAGGTCTTAAATTTAGCTTATTGAGCGGAAGTCAATAAGTGGGAAACGGTGTCTCCTT